GGCCTATATATATATACCATGGTTGAACAAATTCAAATAACGTCATATACACTCTATTACACAATAAGTACGGCTACAAATAAATAATAACATATAATATAAACCAAGATAGCCGTTAACACTTTTAAATTGTATATAATTTGTTTAACCATGAAACCTCTATGGTCTAATGGTTATGACGCTCGCCTTGAAAGCGAGGGGTCGAAGGTTTCAATTCCGTCGGAGAAATTTTATTGCACAATTTATTTATTTATTTATTTATTTATTTATTTATTTATTTATTTATTTATTTGTAGGACAACATTATTTGAGAGCTATGCTACACGATGTATTTATGTCCTTTATTCGAACTGTATTTAACTTTCTTTGATGATACAATTTAAAATAAAATATTCAAATATGGATAACTTTTATAAATAAATAAAATAAAAACATTTTCTTTTTACAGGTTGATATAATTCGTGCTGACCTTCAAAGTTCGGAGTGGAAATTACTCGAGAACCTTATATTAGACGGCAGTATCAACCATGTTCGACAAATTATTTTTACTGCTCATCTTCATTGGAGTGGGTTCGAAGTCCGTGGATCTGACCCGGAAGTGGTTCGTTATTGGTACAGCGTCCTCAAATCACTGGAATCTACTGGCTTTAAACTGTTTAGTTCTTTCAAGGATAACAATGGACCTAAAGTTTTATTGGGCAAAAACTTCGAGAATGCGAGCTGTTGTTTTACTCTCGGATGGGTTAAGATAAATGGCAGGTGACGAACGTTGGAGGCGGCAGATAGAGAATTAGTGATATCGCGGCTCTTCTAATTAGGTGGCGGGTTGTTGTTGTTGAGCATGTTCTTCTTTTACTCAACTTATCAAAAGTGTTTCAGTGTTGTATAGAGCTCAACTGGACGCACCTTATACTCTCATTCGGTACAAATTTTCGACCTGCTTAGTTACAAAAGTACTGTACTATCAAAAGGCAATTCCATTACTCGCTCCATGTTTATCTGAAAAAATAAAAACTTATTTTAAAAATCTATTTAATGTAGTTTTTAGAGAAACTCTAATTATTTATTGATATTTAGCGTTTAAATGACGCTTTATAAACTCCATCATTACTATTATTATTATTTGGTTGATTTGTTTTTCGAACAAACTTAAGTCCTGTCCAAACTATCAAATGCTATTTGTCAAAAAACACGTGACATGCCTAAATAAGTTCATGATGACATCACATCATGACCATATATAGGCACATCATGACCATATATAGGCACATCATGACTATATATGGGCATACATCAGTTTTTTGTCAAAGAAAATTTGATAGTGTGGACAGGGCCTAACGCTGCATAGTGAATCTGAGAGGGAAGCGTTTTCAAATAATTGTAATATTTATTTCGAATTGTTTATTCACCCAGCAAACAAAAAACACAGTTGTGTGACGGTTGCAAATGGTTTGCACATTGTATTTATTAGATGTCAAAAACTGACGCTCCAAACGTTGCAGGCCTAACGTTAACATTATTTAGTTCTGAATTACGTTTTAATTGCGTAAAGTATGGTCATAGGCTTCTAAACACGTTTTGAACAGCAAAC